TGGCCCCGTGGAATCCCGCAGGAGATGCTGAGTTCTTCCAGCACGGGATTGGGACAACACGCATGAGGTGCTGTTTATCAGGGATGCTCATTAGAGATTCAGTGCCTGAGGTTTTTGTTGGGGTCTGGTGATGTAGGTACCATTTTAGCATGTGCCAAAACTCAGGACTCCCCGAGGGAAAGCGGGTGCTCAGCATAACGGCTTGTTTGTACAGTCTGAGGTAAGGAACCCACCCTGCCCACTTAGGATGATGGGAACATTCACCAAATCCACGTTCCCAGATGCCAGCCGGGGACCACACTTGCAGGCAGGCCTTTCCGGGGACAGAAGCCTGGGGCCGGCCGTTTGCTCTTTTCCACACAGGGCCACACCTAAGAGTGCAGTTGCTGGGACTCTTTAACTTTGTATGCCAACCTGTTTTGCGGCGTGGCTACACCATTATCATTCCCACCAGCAGTGCATGAGGGTCCCAATTTCTCCCCACCGCGGCCAACACTAGCTGTTGTCCATCTTTTTTTTTTTTTTCTTTTTAACTTTTTTTTTTTTACAAATAGTTTATTGTCAAATTAGTTTCTACATAACACTCAGTGCTCATCCCCAAAGTGCCCTCCTTCATGCCCTTTCCCCCCTCCCCCCCACATCCATCAGTCCTCAGTTTTTGTCAGCATTCAAGAGTCTCTCATGGTTTGCCTCTCTCCCTTTCCCCCACCATTTCCGCCCTTCTTCTCCCCCTTGGTCCTCCGTCAAGTTCCTCCTAATCCTCCCATACGTGCAAACATATGGTATTTGTCCTTCTCTGCCTGGTTGTCCATCTTTTTGATTATAGCGCCCTAAGAGGCAGTAACAGGTTTTTAAGTTAGTGATTTGCAAGCATTTAGAACAAAAAATGCTGATTCGTAGGAGCCAGACTGGGATCTCTGAGAACAAACTGTGCCAGTATAACCCCTGATCTTCCTTAAAAAAAAAAGGCAATTTGTTTTGTCTGCACTAGCTGTGCTAGGGGACTGTTCCCGTGTTTCAGCCCTGCCCTTCACAACATCTTCATGTACAAAGATGGAGACACGGGGGGTGTAGTGATTGGTGGGCTCCTTGCTCGCTGAGAGATGACACTCAAAGAAAAATGCTCCATCCAGGAGAGAGGCCCCCGCTGCCGTTCCCCAGCACTGTTCACAGCCCCCCCCCCCCCCGTTTAATGTTTCCGTCCAAAACTCAGGGGGAGACACAGATGGTAATCCTATCAAATTTGCAGATTACCCAAAGCAGACAGACACATGCACAGTGAAATTATCAGATCTGGTTTTAGGAAGATCCTGACAGCACAGAATGGTAGGCAGAGTCCTACAAGATGAAATTATTAGGGACAAATGGCAAGTCCCCGCCCACAGGATCTGGTCCAGATGTAACTAGGGAGAGTATGCACTTTGGTTTCTGGTTTCTGCTCATTAACAAAAGCATAGCCAGCCATAACAAGTGGGCCACAGAGTCCCGGGGCACCCTGCAAAACCATTAGGGTATGTGGGCCGGCAGTTCTGGGGGACTCAGGACTCCTCCATGAGGGCAGCTGTGGAAGGAGCTGGGCTGCTCAGGTGGCCAACAGACGGCCCAGGGTGACTGGTGAGTTGACTCCCCCTGTCTGAGGTGCTCTGATATGAAGGCAGCATGAACTGTCTTCCCCATGGCCCACAGGGAAAACAGATTTGGGCTGATTGAAGAAGGGCTTTGTGAAACTATAATCAAAGGGGCTGCCTGGTAAGGTGGTGAGCACCCCGTCACTGGGGGTATTCAAAGAGACGCGACAGAATCTTTTATTAAAGAACTTGCATGAGGCAGGAGGGAGCCTGGATGACCTTTGAGGTCTTAGACCTGCCTCACATGAAGCCAGGGACCGTCTACCTCTATAGTCACCCAAGGGTCACCCAAGGCCTGTATCACCCACTCCAGAGTGAGATTAGCCTTTCTGTGGGTCATCCTCACCCTGTGCCCCTCACAGTCCTATGTGTCCGTTAGGACACTTGGGGGTCCACTTGAGACACACACTTGCCCTCTTCTGAGTGCCTCTGTTGTGTGGAAGCCCCTCCCCTCTGACCCATTACCTGCCTCGCCCGCGATGTGTGTGGTCCACCAGTCTGCCAACCATGTGTTAAACTCTACCGTCATTTTCTTGTTCTTACAATCATTCAGCAAATAGTTAGTGAGCACCTATTATGTGCCAGTCCCTAGATGAGTGTGCAGCAATGCATAGGGGTTCTGGGGACTTACCCCATAGCTGTAAGGATAGCATGACTCAGGCTGCTGAGAGCATGGCATCAGGAATGCAGGGGAAGGAGTGGGGTGCCTGCCTTAGGCCTCCTGCCCTGCGAATTGCCCTGTGCACTGTTTCAGCTGAGATCCCAAAGAGGATAAGCACTTGGCAGGAAGTAGAGCGTGGAGCCAGGGGCACATTCCTGCTGTGGCTGTGGCCCAAACGGTAGCTCAGCACAGGACAGGACCCCTGGTTGATGCTTGCTTCGGGGGTTTGAGGAAGAGAAGTAAGGACTGCCTGGCTGGGGGTCTTTTCCCGTCCCCTGCTCGTCCAGTGCCCAGGTTGAGCCACTTGTGACCCAAGATGGGAGACACATGTCCGTGTGTGTGTGTGTGTGTGTGTGTGTGTGTGTGTGTGTGTGTATGAGAGAGACCGAGACCGAGTGCCACTCTGGTTGCTTTCTGAATCTATTCCCAAGTGGCACAGGGATTATTTGTGCCTTCGTTCCCCTCCACTCATGTGGATGACTGAGATAGCAGGCCCGGCTCCAAACGTCCCCATGTCCCCGCAGAGGCAGCTCCTCTGAGAACACCTAGATGCCCACGACTCTCCGGATTACTCTGGTACACCCACTTCTCTCTCTCTCTCTTTAGCAGGAGGGATTTGAGGGGAGGGTGCGATCCCTACAGACCTCTGCTGCCGCTTTCCTGTCATTTGTGTTTTACCAGCCTCCTGCTGCTCTCCTACCCACCCCCTCCCCGCTCGCAATGGCTTAACTGAGGGGCCTCCAGATAAGAGAGACTGAGGGAGGAGGCCAGTCTCCCTTAAGCACTCATACCCGGCAATTAGTTTCTGTTATTGCCAATTCGGGATAAGTAGAAAATAACAGAGGAATGGAAGTAGGACTCAAAGCCCATGCCAAGTGCCTGGCATGCGTTACCATGACATTTTCATGTATGTCACATGGGAAGCCACATCGCAGGCGAGGCGTGGGGGTGGGGTTGGTTTTCAGGGGTGGCCCACAGACCAGCAGCGTCACGTGGGAACTCAGTAGAAAGGCAGATTCTTGGGCCCACCCCAGACCTGCTGGATCAGAAACTCAAGGATGGGGCTGATAGTCGGATTTAGCAGGCTCTCCAGGTGATTCTGATGCACGCAGAGTTTGAGCACTGAGGATGGATGGAAGAAGGGGTGGTGGCCGAGGCTTGGGGGGCCGGACGGGAAGTTTCAAGGCAGAGGAGGGCGGAGGACTCGTGCTTCTCGGTCATGTGCCGGCAGGTCAGAAACCAAGCATTTCCGGCTACTTTCTTCCATGCAAACCTTTCGGATTGGGGATTAAACCTTTCAGCGAAGCAGCTCTTGCTGTTCCCGTTTCAAAGAGATGTCCACTGAGGCTCTGAGTCTTGCCAAAGTCAATGCAGAGGTGAGATGAGAACCCAGGCCGCTCTGGCCCTGAAGCCTGAGCTCTTTCCGCCACACCAGCTGCCTCCTCGCCCACCTGTCGCTCAGCTGTGCCTCTGCCGCCTGCCTGGCTCCCTCCTCTACCCCGCCGTCACCCAGGCAGCCCACCACGCAGAGGCAAAAAGACAGCATCCTTGAGGCAAATAAGGGAAGCCCTGGGGGACGTGGGAGCAGGGCTGAGGGTGCCTGTAAGCCTGACTCCCTCCAGCCTCCAGGGCTAAGTGCAGCTGGGGCACCAAGGTGCTTGTGCGATGTTCCCAGAGGCCTGCATGGTTGCCTTAATGTAGTAAGAGCTCCTGCATGGCCCCGGGTGTCAAAACCAATACATATTCATTGCTGCCTACAGGTACCAAGCCCTGTGCTGGGAGCCGTGGGGGAAACTGAGGCAAGCATAGTTTCGGGCTTCAAGGAGCTTCTGGTTCTGAGCCAGGGAAACAAACACTGGTGGTGACCAGCCGGGGTGCTAGGGAGACTGGGCTGGCCAGGGTACCTCAAGCCAGGTGTTGGAAGAGTTCAGAGAGATTCATGTGGTGACTTTAGGGGACAGAACAAAGGCTTTGGGGGGCAGACCTAAGAACCACAGGGCAGTGGCTCTGTTCCCGACACTCTCACTGACTCTGGGTAACCTTGGACAAGTTACCTCATGCCTTTGCCCTGTCTCCTTGTCTACAGAATGGAGTCAACAAAGCCTCACTCAGGAGATTGCCTTATTAGATTATACCAGGCATCATGCTGTGTTTTCCTTCCTTTCAGAGGATCACTTTAGGCTACACCAAAACAGGAAGGCTTCATGGAAGAGGTAGCTTTTTGCTTTGGCACTGAAGGATGGCTAGAATGTTTTTGGTGCTTTCTGTGTCTTTAAGGAATCTGTGGGTGGACTCTGGGCTCGTGGGGTCGTCTGAGGAGAATGGCTTTCCAGGCAGCTGTGGGGAAGGAAGTCATCTTATTCAGTCTGGAAGGTTATTTTTTTTTTTTAAAGCTTGTTTATTTTTGAGAGAGAAAGAGACATACAGAGCACAAGCAGGGGAGGGACAGAGGAAGGAGACACAGAATCCGAAGCAGGCTCCAGGCTCCAAGCTGTCAGCACAGAGCCCGACGCGGGGCTCAAACTCACGAACCTCGAGATTGTGACCTTAGCCAAAGTCAGATGCTTAACCGACTGAGCCACCCAGGCAGCCCTGGAAGGTTATTTTTTAAATGTGGTCCCGAATCCTGTTGCACAGGGCAAAGCCAGGTGGCCGGTGCAGGTTGTTGGGAACGGCCGTGCTCAGCTTCTGTTTCCTGCTTTGTCTCGTAGATGATGCAGTTCGCCTGGCAGAGCTACAAGCGTTATGCGATGGGGAAAAACGAGCTCCGGCCACTCACGAAAGACGGCTACGAGGGCAACATGTTCGGTGAGTTGGTGTCCGGGAGACCCACTGCCCCCTGCTGGCTGAGTGGAGTGCAGTTTGGGCTTTTCACTCCCTGAGTTGTGTCCCTATTTCCCCAGACCTGGGCGCTCCCAAGGCCGAGTCCCTTCTAGGTTCTTCAGGCTTCTGAGCGCTCTAGATTTGGGGGACACCCTTGCGCTTCTGTCTCGCTCTACACCCGTCTTTGTATGTACTTAGCATGTGTTTTAGACCAAACACACTCAGACATGTGACTGGGGATAGTGAGCAATGGAGACCTGTGGCCGACTAGCAGGTTTGGGGCTCTGAAGGGCTCAGGTGTGGACTGGCTTTAAACCCACTCCTCGATGCGTAGGGGTGACGTCCTAGAGAAACAGCAGGTGTCTGGTGAGGTGGGCGCAGTCGCTGCCTTTGGGGCCCTGCAGGTGCGCCTCGCATGCTGACCCGGTAGACGGACAGCACCGTGGCCCATCAGGGAGCAGCGTGGGTGCTGCCATGTGTCACCAGCTCGCGTGTGACCTGCAGCCTTGCTTGCCCGTGTCCCCTCCCTCTCCAGCCCTGGGTTCTCCTAACTCAAAAGCCTCTCTCAGCTGGAGAGACTGCAAAGTGCCTTATTGTGGGCATGACCTCACATTCCAAATTTAATACCCTTCCAGGTCGCCAGCCCCCCTGTCTGCAAGCCTTTCACAAGAAAAGCCACCCTGCTTACTTCTTCCTTGAGAGTCAGGAGCTCTCGGGGGCTGGAGACACAAACTCACACCCCGTGTTCCTTACTCTTCAGAGACACAGGCTCCTGAGGTCCAGAACCAAAGAACCATGTCAGTTGAAAAGTCCCAGGAAAACCTGTTTAATGTTTAATGTTTATTTATTTTGAGAGAGAGGAAGAGCAAGCACGTGCAAGCGAGCCAGGAGAGAGAGAGAGTGTGTGTGTGCGAGCGAGCAGGGGAGAAGGGCAGAGGGAGAGAGAGCACTCCATGCTCAGCGTGGAGCCTGACTCAGGGCTTGATCTCACGACTGCAAGATCACGACCTGATCCCGTATCAAGAGTTGGCCACTTAACCAATGGAGCCACCCAGGCTCCCCTCCCAGGAAAATCTTAAAGGCAGATATAAAGGAATGACCCCTGTGTGTATGGTCTTGACAGAAGTATTTGTGTGTGGGAAAAGGGACACAGGACTTGACTTCTTCCTGTGTCAGCATCACATCCTTTCTGGATGTTCAAATAATTCACTCTGTGTTGGGGGAGGGGGGCAGGGAGAGAGAAAGAAAGAATTTGGGTAGCTGCTTATTTTTCTTAGATTATCTTAGGAATGTAGGAAAAAGGAAAAAAATATCAAAAGGTGTAAAACAGAAAACAAATAACTCATTCTGCCACATAGATGCAGCCTCTGTTGATATCTTGGTTCATTTCCTTCGAGCAGTCTTCTCTGTACTTTTTTGTTTCCCTCTGTATGCAATTTTATGTCCTCTCTGTCTCTGTCTCTCTGTCTCTCTCTGGTTTTGCTTAATGTTACATCATAAGTATTTCCCTAACTTATTCAAATTTTTTTCACCAAGAATGTTTTTAATGGTCGCAATTACTGCATGGATATGCCGTAATTCATTTAACCATCCTGCTGACATTGGACAGAAGCCGTTTCCAATTTTTTGCTATGAAAAATAATCCAGCAGTTACCATCTTTGTGCATAAAATGTTGCCTTAGCACAGATCCCTACGGAGGACTCCTGAGTCAGAAGAGGGGAAGACAGATGTTGCTTTAACCTCCCATGTGAAATGTGCGGGTTCCTGTTTAGGAGCCTGGCTGTCCTCCTGCCCTAGGACACAGATCTTCCCCAACATCAGCCCTGGGGAAAGGTGGCTGGCGTGGGTCTCCTCAGAGTCATTGGAGCTTTGGCTCCTAGGGGAAATCAGGGCTGGAACCCCGGAGGCAGTTGGTGAAAATTCAGGGAATTGGCAGAAGTCGGGGGAGGCCGATTTCTGAAACTGTTGCTCAGACCACCCATGGGGCGGAGGGAGCACCACGGGGAGCATTGCACAGAGGATTGGGCTAAGCCATGACCCGTTGTGTAAAATTCCTGAGGGCTGCCGTTTGCATCTCAGCTCGTCAGCCCCCATTCAGTCACCAGACCTGATGGAGAGTGGGTGGCTAGAATGGAAAGAACCTTGGACCTTGAGGCAGAAGACCTTGGTGCAAGTCCTCATTCTGCTCTGTGTTATCTGTGTGGCCAAGTCCAAGTGACTTTCCCTCTCTGGGCCCCTGCTCATTCGTCCTTCTCTCTGGACTTCTGTGAGAGCATGTATGACCATGCAGAGGGCCCAGTATGTATGAGTGATTTACAATTCACAGCATAAGAAATGCAGTCAGCAGTTGACCAGCTGAGCCCATGGGAGGTCCTGAAGGCCCCGGGCGTCTGTCTCCAGAGCAGCCTTAGCAGGACCCCGCGTGCCCTGTCGTCCGGTGTTTGCAGCCATCCTGGCAATGAGGCAGTGTCTGTCTTGTGCGCCAGCAAAGGAGTGGCAGTGGGTGGCTGGCTCCTGGGAGAGGAAGGTGTGCTGGGACCCAGGCACTGGACAGGGGGAGCTAGTCTCGACTTCCTCTTTCACTCCACGAGTGCTTGTTTACCGGCTCCTGGTTGTGCGGCTTAGGCAGGTTGTTCCTCTACGGGCCCAAGTTTTTCTGCACGGTCCCCGAGCCCAGGGCCCACCTGACACACAGAGCCTGCTGGATGTGTAGTAGCAAGGACTGTGGCCACCACACGTGTGTCCTATGAGACAGAGGCTTATGGGAATGCCAAGGAGGTGGCTCTGGTTGGGAGTGGACCCACGAGGGGCTTTGAAGCTTGACTATTCCTGAAGATGGAAGGAGGCGAACTGGCCTGAACTGGCTGCTTGTCACCCTGCCACTTCTTTTCCTGGACTCATGTGGGCTGCTGGGTGGCTGGGCTCTGGCCGCCACTGTCTTCAGCGACTTCACTGTAAACCGAGCCCTGCCAGGAAGGTCAGGCGGCGCAGTGCCCATGCTGCCCACCTTGCCAAGTTGTTTGGACCTAGCTCTCACAGCCCCCTTCCCGGGCCTGCACGCGGGGAAGAGTGATGAGTTCATGCTGGTGCCTGGCTTTGCAGGGAGAACGTCAGATGCCGAGCCTGGTGTCCTGTGTGGCATTTCTCCCTCTCAGCTGCCCACACACCCCTCCCCAAATCTGCTCTCAGTCTGAGAGCAAGACCACTGCGTGGGGTGTCTCTCAAGCCAGTATTTGTATCCGAAGCAATTCTGTATCAAAGCAGCTTCCTTTTTCCTAACATCCGGCTCAGCAGGCCCTGTCTGAAGACGTTCCCAAGGCCCCTGGGTGGTGAGCAAGGTCGCAGCCTGCTCCTTGCCTTGTGCCCCCCTTCCCCCCCCCACCCCACCCCGGCCATGGCAGTGATCTGCCTCTTTGCCCTTCCTGAGAGAGGTCACCAGAACTTCCCTGTTAGTGACCAGCCAGGTGGCGGAAAGAGTGTGGACTTGGGATTGAAGCATGCCTGAGTAGGACCTCTGTGTTGTCACTCTGTAGCCGCGTGGCCTCAGACTGTGGAGTGGGGCAGGGGCCCCTGCCTCCTGGGCCCGTGGTGACGGCCTGGAGACAGACAAAGGCTTAGCCCCGAGCCAGGCCCAGAGCAGACACTGGATGGCAGTGCTCTTATCACTAGTAAGTCTCAGAGGCCAGCCTGCCCCCTGAAGGATTCATTCAAGGAGGGGAGGGAGAGGAACCAGCTGTAATGAGCAGCAGCGATGCCGTAAAGCACAGTGGCTCAGTACACAGAGGCCCAGCCTCCTTACCCATAGAAAGCGCTCTGCTAAGAGTTGGAGGACTAAACAAGCTGGCCGAGGAGCGTGGACTTGGGGGCCACACAGCTGGCATCTGCATGCTGCTCCACCACTAAGCTGTGTGACCTTGGGCAAGCTTCTTGACCTCTCTGGGCCTCCGTGTCCCAGCTGTAGGTCGGGACAGCAATACTAACTACTCATAGGATTGGTTTGAACGCTAAATGAGCTAAGCCATAGCAGTGCTCATATTCATGTCTGACATTCTTCAAGTCAGCTGATATGAGGATGACGTAAGTCCCTTAGGGCAGTGTGTGCCTCTCCTATTTTGACTGGGGCATGCCCAAGGCCCCTCGGCCCAGGGGCCCACCTGAGGGCACCGGGGCTTTCCAGGCCTTCCTTGTTTCCCCAGCTCTTGAGTGCTCCTTGCAGAGATCATGGGTGGGCAGCCCACTGGTGGCCAGCGTCCCGTGTGCACCTTCATTTGAGCAGCTGACAGAGGAATTTTTAACAGGGAAGAGGGCAGGAGAAGGTTAAGGTTCAAGGCCATGGAATAAATCAGCCTCCTGCCAGAATAAGAATTTCCGGGCAGGTAGTAAGTGACACCTTGCTTGGGTGCCAGCTGCCAGCCCTGAAGCACTTAACGAGCATTAATCCTCCCAAGAAGTCAGAGTGAGCCTGATAGCTTCATCTTCCCCTGGCAGTGAGGAAAATCAGCACGAGAGCAGAGTCTTGGGAGGGTGCCACCAGAGAGCCTCTTTGAAGGAAAGTCCTACCTCTTCATCTGAGCGTGGGGGAAACCAAGCTCAGAGAGGGGAAGGGACTTGCCCAGGGTGACACAGCATGTTAATTGCAGGACCGAGGCTTGGACTCTGGTAGCGAGAGTCCCAGCCCAGTCCTCCTTCCACCACCCACTCTGAGATCAGCTAAATGTACCAAGGCCAGATTGTCAGAGTGCAGGCCTATGGTCATGGCCAGATCGCCACCAGGAACTAGGAGTTTGCGGAGCTGTTCCAAGAGCACACTGTCGGTGGGTGGATGATTTGGGGGCTCCCTGTACATGTATCACACCAGGCACTGCAGCTGCATTCTCTTGTCTTCCTCATAGCCCTTGGAAGGGACACATTATCCATTTTATCCCCATTTCACAGATAAGGAAACCGAGAAGAGGTGACTTTTAGGACTTGCTTAGTCACACAG